CATGTACATACGCATGTCACCCCATGTCTTCCCACCGGTAAGTGTCTATAGGTCTTTCCATGAGCTTGAAAAAGTACACATTAAAAACTAGTTTATTCAAAATGTTTTATTAAAAACACTACCATCATAAAAGTATATAAAACAAAGGACTAAAAATAGTTAAATGGATAAAACAATCTATTCAACATGAATTACAAGATGGTATTAACCTCAATCTCCTCATTGAGACCTACGGGTACCAGAGAATTTAGTTTGAAGATCCAAAAAGTCTCACGGTTACAAAGACGGTGAAACCGCTCAGAAACCGATAGCTCTGTGGAAATGTGTTCGATTGCGAACACCCGGAGATCTTGGGTACGTTTGTGGTGCTTAAGGGTAAAGTGCTGGGGGACGCTGTGATCAAAGTCTCCTTTCTCGATTAGGCGTCTATGTTCACCTATCCTAGTACGTAGGGGGCGTATTGTGCGACCAACATATAATAATCCACATGGGCAAGTGAGGCCATAGACAACATGGTCATGTGAACAAGTGATAAATTGCCTAATGGTATAGGAATTCTTCAGGTGGTCGTGGAAACGAGTTTGACCATGATAAATAAATTGACAAGTAAGGCATCTTGGTTTCCTACATTGGAACGTCCCAACCCTATTATGAAATAGGAAATGCCTGGGGCAAGCATCTGAGCCCTGGAACTTACGGCTAGGTCCTACCATGTTTTTGATGTTCCTAGATTTCTTAAAATTAATGGACGGTTTGGATGGTAGGGTTGAGCCTAACCTGGAATCTTTCTGCAATATATGCCAATTTTTCAGGAGTGCTCGTTGTATGGCAGTGTGACTATTGTTAAAAGTGGTGATGAATCTGATTTTGTCTTGTTCACCATTGGTGGACTTGTGTCTGAGGTTCTGGCTCGACTCGGTATTTGCATAGTGGGAAAAGGCTTCAGGGTAAGCCTATCCTACATCTATCTAAAAATTGCACTATTGCATCAACTCATCCTCTAATCTCCCCAAGCATTACAACAACACACACAGGTACCATGGGGAACAAATATAGCCACCCTCCAGAAAAAGAAGACAGTGTTAGCAGGAATGCAGAGATGATTTGAGGATCTACAGCCGAGTGATACACAAATAAGCTATATTTTTGGTAATAGTTAAGGTTCTTGAATATATTTTCAAGATTTTACTCCCGAGTTTAGTGTCACTTTAAGGACTACTCATACCCATAAACAATATGTATGAAATACAGTTCCTCAAAATACATCTCCTCATGTATCATTTCCCCCTCCTCTTTTAGATTGTAAGCCCTCAGGGGCAGGGCCCTCCTTACCATCTTGTCTTGAATTGTATTGTAATTGTAATGTCTTCCTTATAATGTAAAGCGCTGCGCAAACTGTTGGCGCTATATAAATACTATGTAATAATAATAATCTTCAAACAATGCACCCAAAATCAAAAAGCTGACAAAGAAAATCGATCTAGCAATCTAGTTATTGCATGAACTTCCATTTTATTTGTATTTTTTTGTTTAGATAGATTATCTATAACTTACTAAATACGGCATCTTATCACATACATACAGTATGCAGAAATGTGATGCTTCATGGGGTGGCAGGTTGTGTATACTGACCCGTCATTCAGGACCAGATTCAGAGGCCACTTTATTGTGTCACACTGTAAGACGACCATTCTTCATGGCCACATCATTTTATACATCTCATAAATATAATTAAATGTACATGTAATTAAAACACTATGATCCAAATGTTCTCTATATGCAGTGGTTAGATAGTGAAGCAAAGGACAGTTTGCCACTTATTTTCCATATTTTGCCTTTCCCCTATTAGGTTCAAATGTATGACTTCAGGTGAAATAGCTGATGTCAACTTCATAAAAAGTATATCCTTTTTAGAATAACCTATAGCATCCAAACAGATAGTAGTCTGTCTACTCAAAGGTGCTGTAAGGTACACTCAGACTGGATGCAAACCAGTGCATGATATATGACCTGTTACAGGACCACTATAGTGAAATATATTGTAGTATGGTGACTGTATGGGGTTAATACTTGTAATTATAGTATTCCGTATATGAATTTATTTTATTACCTTACACGTTTTTATATTTATCTTTTAATTTTTCTCCACATTTACATGCAGTTCAACCTATCCAGCACAAGGGGCAGTTATAGTGTTTGGGACAGAGGGTATGCTTAACGGTCACCGTTCATTCATATGGATTAGGCCCATTTAGGCCTATGTGTTGCAGTAGCACCCACATATTACCACACATTACTGCAAAGCATTTTAATGAACAATCCATATTAATAAAAAAACTATAGTGGGGTTTAACAAAAAATATGAAAAAACACATTGCTGTAACTGCATAGAAAGTGTTAGTTGGAGTAGGGCTTTAATTTGTTTGTCACCTTATTCTATTGAAAAATAAATTTCTGTATAAAGCGGTTGAAATTCAGACAGTATGTGGCCCTATCGCTGCCCCTCTGCCTTTTGATCAACTATCGTCGATGGAGCCGGTCTGAAAATTTAGCTGCATTCACTGTCCACATATTCTGTTATCTGTTTTGCCAGAGGAAGGGACTTTGCTGTTCCGAAACGTCGCTCTGATGATGTGCCACCTGTGAATTCAATAAACATTGGCTTTTCTACAGTACATGTAACTAGAAATCACAGGGCCCCATAGCAAAATTTTGAATGGGGCCCGGGGATTTCTAGTTAAAGGAGAACTATGAGGTGAGTGCTTCTCACTCACCTCATAGTTCTAGCCGACCTGTGACAATGAGACTGTCACAGGTCAGCTCGGTAGATCGGGAGGTGAGCGACACATAACGGTGTTCGCTCACCTCTCGAGCTCCGATCCTCCAGCGCTGACTGGCGGAACGGACGGGGGAGGGGGCGGGTACAGCTGGCTCTGCATCTAGGTAGGCAGAGCCAGCTGTCAGTCACGCAGCTGGGCGGATCCAGACATAATTGTCCGGATCCGCTTCAGCTGCGGCGTCTTAGTATACTGCGAGCAGCATCGCGGTATACTGAGCCTAGGGTGACGGGAGGACGCTAGTTTGTGTCCTCCCGTTACCCTAAGGAGATCTCCCGCCTCCGAGCCTCCAGCGCTGACTGGCGGAACGGACGGGGGAGGGGGCGGGTACAGCTGGCTCTGCATCTAGGTAGGCAGAGCCAGCTGTCAGTCACGCAGCTGGGCGGATCCAGACATAATTGTCCGGATCCGCTTCAGCTGCGGCGTCTTAGTATACTGCGAGCAGCATCGCGGTATACTGAGCCTAGGGTGACGGGAGGACGCTAGTTTGTGTCCTCCCGTTACCCTAAGGAGAACTATGGGGAAAAGCCTTAACCCCATAGCTCTCCTTTAAGCCCACCTGATAACATAAACAGCCCACTTGAGAGTGACCCTGCAGAGCCCTCCATAGACACTCTATGGTGGGCTCTGCAGGGTCTCAGGTGGGCAGTCAAGCCCTCTTACCTGTCTGCTCCGATCCTCTGTCAGCCTCCTTCTCCTCCACGATCGCTTGCGGGCCCCGCCTCCACCGTCACTGGGCCCCACCTGCTCGATCGACATGCCCCACCTCCCCATTGATAAGCCCCACCTCCTCGATCACTGGGCCCCGCCTCCTCCATCTCTGGCGACGACAGGCCCAGCCGCCTCCTCCAAAGCTGCTGGTTGTCACCGACTCAGCAGCGGCAGTGAGGAGGAACGCACCGCTGCACATGTGAATAGCGGAGCGTTCCTCCTCACAGCCGCCAGTGACAGCCAGCAGCCTGAGATGCCAGAGCGACCCAGGCGGCCCGCACGGCATCAGGGGGATGTCCTGGCTGGGCCCCCCTGTGCACTGGGAACCCATAGCGGCCACCTGGGTCGCTATGGTGATTGTTACGCCACTGCTCGTGACCTTCTTTGTATTCTTTTTACTTATTTTGCCGAGGCATCCGCGGTCATTTCAGCACCCTACAATTAGGGTTTTTTATCCGGTCAGGAGTGTGATGGGTGTGTATGTTATTTGTCCACATATTCTGACAGCAGCACACCGCCACTGTCAAAGTGGGCTGAACAAAAAAAAAGTGTTTGACCAGCCAAAGGCTACCATGTCCAAAGGGTGACAATGCTGCTGTGCACTTTCACTGCAGAACAGTGTTGTCATCCTTCTGCAGGAAGTGGGAAAATAACTACAGACAGGATGAACAAGTAATAAAAAGTATGGGGGGGGGGGGCTCAGAAGATCAAAAACGCCTGTATGTAATCTGTAAAGCATGCATGTAATCTTTTATTTTGATAAAAGTTGCACTTTAAAATACTACATATACCCCCTGTACAAAATAGGCACTACATCAAAAGCCGCATTTTTATTAAAATAATTATTGTCTTTTGAAATGCACATTCAATACATTATCTTTTTAATACAGCCTTTTATCTAAAGCTTGTAATGCATCCATATCTTTTTGCTCAGCCTTCAAAAGATAGTCAACAGGGAAGTATAAATTGTGATATCTGTGCTGCCACCTGGTGGACATATTTGTGAACAACTTCCAACAAATGCTAGAGTAGAGAACACACAGACGCGGACTTCTTTTCAAGATATTTTATTGTAAAGGTACATTAAAAAAAATTACACAGAGACTGAAACCATGAACGAATGCAGAAAAAAATGCTCTGAATGAATGTGCTTGAAAAGGCTCTTTTTTGTGCTCTATTGTTTAATGTGCTGTGACAACCAAGTAATTCAAAATCCCTGTCTGCATCCTCTTTCAGAAAAATGCCAGTGCTGTAATTAGCTTCTAAAAATTAAAAAAGATGGATATACATCTATAAATATTTTATACTCTGTACATTATTGCATTAGAGGGCCACAAAATAACGTGACCTTTATTATAACAAAGAAAAACAGCTTTAAAACAGAACATACTTTATAAACTCCCCAAACTTTTAATTATTTGAATTTCCCATCTAAAGAGCTATTTTTTTTAAATCATCTCTCTTTGTGGGTATAAATATTTTCTGTATATTTCGAGCTATTTGACAATATCCTAGAAGATTTATGAGAAAAGCAGCAAAATAACAATCTCTCTTTAGGGCAATATAATATAATATGGCTTTTCTAGTTTGAATCATCTATCAAAACAGAAACGGAATGAGGAAAAAAACAAACAAACACTGTATCATAGCTGAATTGCCTCCCACTGGTTAAACACCATCTACATTCTAGAGCTAAACAAGACACAACATTACTTGGATATATAACAATATTATGCATCCCCATGTGGACTCTACAAGTTGGTCACAGAGAATAATACTTTATAGTAGCCATTGATGTGGTGTTGTCCACAATAAAGCACTTAACATTTTTTTTTTTTTTTTTTTTTGTAGTTTATGTATTCCACACTTCAAGAAGGACATTTGGATTCCAAACAAGTATTTACACCAAAGGACTAGGAAGAACCCATTTCAAGTCTGCCAGGAGGAAAAAAATAAAATAATAATGATAACATATGTTTTCTGTACTCAGATCACAGACAAGGTCGCAAAAACAATCCTATGTAAGCTTAGAGCTTGCTTTTCACAACACATACTATACGCGTTTCAGTGATTGTGTTCACCGAGCTTTTGCTAATGGCAAAAAAAAATGGCTGAAACTGTGTGCTCTCTGATTATGGTTTTTCGAGACGGCCCTTTTCTGTTTAGAGAAGCAACAACAGTGCAAAGAGTCTTTACGTAGCTGAAGAGTCGAGTCCTTTTGTCTCTCGTATGCGGTTTTTATTTTGTTCTTTGCAGCTAATATGGTGCAAAAAGTATGGAGGCTGTGGTGGCACGAATAGAGCCATGGGCTGGCCTTAGAAAGGTAGGCGCTAAGCCTGACCCCTGAAACAGTGAGTTGTGGGGTCGAGGTGGTAATGAGATTGCAGACGTTACAGCAGCTGCCAGAGGCGATGACAGGAAGGCCGGAGTTAAAGGCTTGAGCATATCTTTCTGGAATGCCAGCTTTGCCTGAAAAACAAACCAAAAAAAAGAAGTAATTAGATTTTTACTACATACATTTTCTAAGTTTATTAGTTGTAAATTGTCTCATGATTACAATCTTTCCAAAGACTACAAGAGTGACTGTAAAGGGTCATTCTCTCAAAATGAAACCTTATGACTGCAAAGGATCACTCTCTCCATACATAACCTTATGACTGTAAAGGGTCACTCTCACCAAACATAACCTTATGACTGTACAGGGTCACTTTCTCAAAATGAAACCATATGACTGTAAAGGGCCACTCTCACCAAACATAACCTTATGACTGTAAAGGGCCACTCTCACCAAACATAACCTTATGACTGTAAAGGGTCACTCTCACAAAACATAACCTTATGACTGCACAGGGTCACTCCCTCAAAATGAAACCATATGACTGTAAAGGGTCACTCTCTCCAAACATAACCTTATGACTGTAAAGGGTCACTCTCTCCAAACATAACCCTATGACTGTACAGGGTCACTCTCTCAAAATGAAACCATATGACTGTAAAGGGTCACTCTCTCCAAACATAACCCTATGACTGTACAGGGTCACTCTCTCAAAATGAAACCATATGACTGTAAAGGGTCACTATCTCCAAACATAACCTTATGACTATACAGGGTCACTCTCTCAAATTGAAACCTGGTGACTGTGAAGGGTCACTCTCAAAATGAAACCTTATGACTAAAGAGTCACTCTCTCAAAATGAAAACTTATGACTGTAAAAGGTCATTATTTTGAAATAAAAGGAAGGTAAACCGTATGACTGTAAAGAGTCACTCTCTTGAAATAAACCTTATCACATTCAAGGGTCACTCTCCTGAAATGAAACCTGAAAATGTTATGCTCAGCTGGCACCATGTTCCAAAACAGAAATAGCTGTATAGAGAAATACACTGAAATAGACACATGCAACTCAATTGTTATCTGCAGCCTTAGAACCAAGTCTGTTTGCCATTGGGTCAGCCATAGTCCATGTGATCTCCTAAATCTTGCAGCAAGAGATTTTCTGAAGTTATAAAAATCTTTATTGCTGAACACTAATTTATTTTACTACATCAGGAGCTCCGATGAGTGGTTCTGACATTTACAGTGGGGAGCCGCAGAACTATGATGGACACCAGTTCTATTGTTGTGCCTCCACCCCCTCCCTCTGCTGTGCCATTTACAAAGCACAGAACAGCGATGATGCTGTGGATGTGCTTTGTAAATAGCACAGCAGAGGGAGAGAGTGGAGGCATAACACCAGAACTGGTGTCCATTGTAGAGCCTCGAAGTGTAGTCCCCCGCTGTACATATCAGAATCCCTCAGCAGAACTTAAAGAGCTCCTATAGAAGTTAAAAAAAGAGTGTTTATTTGTGAATGAAATATTAAAGAAAAAAACAATAAAAATAGCTGAACTGGGCTTTAAAGTGGCACTAAACTCAGGAGTTAAATCCTAAAAATACATTTAAGTACCTTAACTATTAACACAAATGTATCTTAGTTGTGTATCACTCAGCTGTAGATCCTCAAATCATCTCTGAATTGGTGCCGACACTGTCCTTCCTTCTGGAGGTTGGCTACTTTTGTTCCCCATGTTGTAAAGTAGCCACCGCTCCAAGCTCGCTCCTGTGATGGACTACAATCTCACATTCAGTTTACTAATTTGTATTGAGACTGTAGTCCATCACTGTCTTTAGTGCTCAATGTTTTTTTTTTATTCCTCGACAATGTAAAGATGGAAAGTAAAAATAAATTAGTGTTCACATTTTCTCATCACGTTTTACGTATAAAATTAGCTGCCTGTGACCAATAGTCTAATAAATGCCACGTGAAGTCTAAATGTTGCTCAACTACAATATTTAATTATAGCTCTTAAATGAAGCAATTATCACTTGCTGAATATCGCAGTGAAAATAATGTAATTAATGCACTCTGCTTTTAGTAGTAGAGTATATTTATTCTTTTTTTTAATAATCCACAATTGAATCAAAGCGAGCATTGTTTATACTGCTTATATTTTGGACAGATAAATGTGATTTGGTTAAAGAATAAATTACATTTTAATGAAACCCTGCATTGAGATTTTATGGGGGCCACCAATACTGACCTCTCCTCAGAAAGTATAGAAATCTAGAGACAACCAGTTAACTAGTATTTTTAAAAGGACGTCAGAAATTTCCCCCCCATGCTGGTTTTCAGTATTTGATTAATTGCTTCAATATGTAACCTTCCAGTTTTCCCTTTTCTTTCCTTTTCCTTTCCAGAAATCTGCCATTAAAGTAACCTTGTCCGCACAGGGTCACTTTTGGTGGTACAACATGCCCAGAATGAAAGAGCCACTATACTTACTTCTCCAGCAGATCGTTTGTTGACATACAATTATTTGCCTATCCCTGGCCCCTGCAGGTATTCAACCGGCCGGATGGGTCTAATGCCTGTTTCCCCCACCGCATGCAGTGGTTACTCCCACCGGCTCGTATGTCCTGTAGTGCTGCATGAGTCGGGGGGAGAAACCACAGTGTGTGGAAGGGGAGCAGGTATTCTGAACATGTAAAAATGTGGATTACTTCCAATGGCTGGGAAAAAGTGAAGAAGCGGCATATCAACAACTGGGCCTCCAGAAAGGTACATATAGTTGAGCTGACAGGGTCACATTAAGTGTCTTGCAAGTTCCTTTTTCCTTTTGTTTTCATGTCACTGCAGTCTTCAGGGAGCTAGACTGTGTTTGTGAAGATAAATCCATGTGCATGCTTCTGAAAGCTTGCTCCCCATTGACATGCACTGGTCACATGAGGTGAAATGAATGCCACACAGTCAAGGTATTCAGAAAGTATTCTTGAGCAGAGCAGGCTACTTTTCTCTGTAAATGATAACCTGGAATTCTGAGACTGACTATGAAGGTCAAGGGGTCTCAAACACAAGCCATACTAATACACATTCCTGACCAACAACAGAGAAATAATGCACACCCTAATCATTTTCTATTACATTCAGAATGACTGACAATGACTAAAGCATCTTCTTTAGGTTTCAAGGGATCATAGGAAGACTATGGCGCTGATGTATAAAGTATCTGCTTTAAAGAAAAGATTCCTTTATAAACCAGAAGGAGGTGTTTTAGGAATGTGCTTAGCTTTACTCTTCTGAATGGAATTTAAAAAAACATAAAAAAAACTGTGGAAGTTAGCTGACTGGCTCTCATCCAATCATAGAGCTCTCTGCTGTCATAAGCAGAGAGGACTTTGTAAACAACGCAGGCTCCACACCACAGCATGCATTTTATGAATGGGCTAGAAAGTGCAGAGCAGTGTGTGTGCTTCCGCAGAGTATAATTTGAGAGTGAATAGTGATATTTGCTCTGCGTTAGGAACTGGCTCCTATCAAATGCCAATAATGTGAATTGGGTAAACTTTCCGTAGATAAATCGGATCAACTTTCCATGTTTAGCAGAGTGCCACTGGTACTTGAACAGTACTGGCAGTTTCCAGAATGATTTTTATTGCTGCCTAGAGTCCGTTTTTACAGCATACCTGTTATAAACGAGGCTGCTATTGGTGGGCTCCTTCTGAAAAGGAGTTGCTTGGCTGTATCTGGGTTCAACTTAATTACAGACCCTAAACAAGCATGATGCAAATGAGTCTCAAGTATCTCTATACTTGTCCTTGGCCAGAGTCTCTGAAAAAGGTGAAACCAAAGCATTAGGATGACAGCCAGGGAATTTGTATCCATATAAAGAGCGGTCAGCAATGGCAGCCTACATGATTTTCTCATGAACTGTGAAGTATGCACAATTGTGTAAAAAAGTTAAACATATTAGTTTAATACTAGGAATAGTAGACTACTATTAGTTTAATTGTTTAGCAAGTAAGACTGATAAATGGGAATGCCAGCACACCCTTTGATGACCACCCTTGCCAGCTATGTATATCTAAGAAAGCTATATAACAATTCAATTAAAAAAACAAAAAACAAAGTACAACCGATTTGCGAAGAAGATCACTTAATAAAACATATTAAGAAATGTAGTTTTGCGCTTACAAAATTCATGGTTGAATCAGGCCCATCACATATTGTTTTTAGGTAGTATCACCAAGGCACCATAGACCCTGATGAAGGAGTTGATATAGTTTATTAAATGATCTTCCGTGCAATCCAATACTTTGTGGTTTTGTTTTTTCAGCTTAACTATATAGGGCTCTTATTTATGATTCATTGTGCATGTTATATGCTGGAGTGAGAATAACTAAGGCCATTTTGGAAGCCTGATGAGAGCTGGCAATCACATTGCTAAGAAATACCAGGCATGACACTGGGTGACTCAGTAGTGATTGCTCACTGCTCTCACATTATCTTCTAAGAGTTCAGTCCTCCAAATGCTGCGAGTCACTGCTTGTTAGTTTCAGTCACCTCAAGGATCTGGCACTTTTATTATATAGCGTTGATTAAAATAACCTCACCTAGCAAACAGCAGAAAATGAATGGGACCTTGAATTTAATTATGGCCCCTTCCTGACCTGTCTGAAAAGGAGCTGAAGTAGGAAGATAGGCCCTTTTCTCATATAATTGCAGAGGGTTTACTTGGCTCTTCTATCTGTTGCCCTCTGCTGTAGCCTGCCATTACTAAACATGTTAAAATATGACGATGTGATAAAGCCGGGATTCATAGTTCACACTAGGCTAAATGTTCTAACAAACAGACACAGCTAAGCACTCCTAAGGTCAAGATATCAAAATCAAGTATGCCGGTCCTGTATATTTACTCTCAAAGAGCACTGTATAAATCTGAAAGAAAAAGATGGAGGAGACATGGCTAGTATTCATCCAATTTTTCCCTTTCTTCTCTCATTAATAAGATATTTTTTCCAATACATGACAACATACAAAGGGGAAGATCTCCAAGCAATTGAGAGTGTTTGAGAGTACATGTGAGCCTGCACGGGATCTTGTGTGCTTTTGATGCCACATATCATACATAAATATATAGCTTAATAATA